ACCCCTTAGCTTGGGAATGCCCAGATGATGGCCCCTCCCTCGTGCCCAACTCCCTACCTGTGCACCTGGCCGTCGTCGTCGTCGTCGTGGTCCTCGGGAGCCGGGCCGTGTCGTGCCCCGCAGGCCGGCAGCTCTTAAATGCTCCCCGATGATGATCCCGCCTGGCCCCGTAATTAGAAGGAGCCGGGGAGTCGGACGTGCTTATCGCTGGCCCTGTGGGGACGTGGGACGGAGCCCGGGCTCGGCCCTGCCCTGCCCAGGCAGAAGGCGCGCTCTCCTTCCCCACCGTGCAGACACGGTGTCCCTTTATGGGGCTTCATTCGGGGGTGGCGTATGGTGGCGGTGCTCAGGAGGAGGGTTTGGGGGGATGCTCTCTTGTCCCAGGGATCAAGCCTCGCACGCTGGGGCCAGAAAGGTTGTGCAGCTCTGCCCGGGCTCAGCCCGGTCACTGCACCGTCCCCCGAGGCCTGGGTGGTGGAGCTAGAGAGGTGCGGGCGTGTGACTGCATCGGCGTGTGTGATGCGGTGAGTGACGGTGAGTGAGGGGTGTAGGAGTGAGGTGTCGGGGTATGTGTGTGTGTGTCTGTAAGGGAGACAGGGAGGGAGGGTGAGAGAAAAGGAGAGAGTGTCTTGATACATGCCTGTGTAAATTTGTGAGGATAAGTGAAGATATACCAGGGTGTGTGGGAGTAAGGTGTTGTGTCATGTGTGTGTGTGTCTGAGAGAGAGACTTGCTACATGTGTGTGTGTGAATCTAGGGATGGCTGAAGGTGAACGTGGGTGTGTAGGAATGAGGTGTGTGTAAGGTGTGTGTCTTTGAGAGAGAGAGACTTGATACGTGTGTGTGAATCTAGAGATGGCTGAAGGTGAATGTGGGTGTGTAGGAATGAGGTGTGTGTAATGTATGTGTTTGTGTGTGTGTGTTTGTGAGTGAGGGAGGGAGAGAGAGTGAGAGAAAGAGGGACAGAGTATCTTGATACATGCCTGTGTAAATTTGTGAGGATGAGTGAAGATGAACAAGGGTGTGTGGGAGTGAGGTGTTGTGTAATGTGTGTGTGTGTGAGAGAGACTTGATACATGTGTGTGTGTGAATCTAGGGATGGCTGAAGGTCAAGGAGGGTGTGTAGGAATGAGGTGTGTGTAAGGGGTATGTGTGTGTGTGTGTGTGTGTGTGTGGGAGACAGGGAGGGAGAGAGAGAAGGAGAGAGTGTCTTGATACCTGCCTGTGTAAATTTGTGAGGATGAGTGAAGATATACAAGGGTGTGTGGGAGTGAGATGTTGTGTCGTGTGTGTGTGTGTGAGACTTGATATGTGTGTGTGTGAATCTAGGGATGACTGAAGGTGAACGCGGGTGTGTAGGAATGAGGTGTGTGTTTGTGAGAGAGACTTGATACGTGTGTGTGAATCTACGGATGGCTGAAGGTGAGTGAGGGTGTGTAGGAATGAGGTGTGTGTAATGTATGTGTGTGTGTGTGTGTGTGTGAGACAGGGAGGGAGAGAGAAAAGGAGAGAGTGTCTTGATACCTGCCTGTGTAAATTGGTGAGGATGAGTGAAGATATACGAGGGTGTGTGGGAGTGAGGTGTTGTGTAATTTGTGTGTGTGTGAGAGAGACTTGATACGTGTGTGAATCTAGGGATGACTGAAGGTGAACGCGGGTGTGTAGGAATGAGGTGTGTGTGTAAGGTGTGTGTGAGAGAGAGACTTGATACATGTGTGTGAATCTATGGATGGCTGAAGGTGAGTGACGGTGTGTAGGAATGAGGTTGTGTAATGTATGTGTGAGTGTGTGTGTGTGGCTTGCTATGTGCGTGTGTGAGTCTGGGGGCTGAGTGAAGGTGAACGAGGGGCTGTGGGATTGAGGTGTGTGTCTCAAGTGCGTGCGTGAATGAGGATGAGTGGGAGTGCATGTGTGTACGGGTGAAGTCTAATTCTGTGTCACTGGCGACGTATGTGACTGTGACTGAAGGAGTGCGTGTAGGTGAGTGAGTGGGTATTGTGCAACTGGATATATGTGTCTGAATGGAGGCACCTGAGTGGATGTGATGGAGTGTGTGTGTGTGTGAGGGATGTGAAGTGTGTGTGTGTGTGTGTGTGTGATTGTGTGAATGTGAATGAAGTTGTGTGAATGAGCTCTTGTGTGCGGGTGTGACTGGATACGTGTGTGAATGTAGGAGTTGGTGTGAATGACTGGGTGTGTGTAGATGTGAGTGTATGAGTCAGTGACTGCATGAGGTTGTTCGAATGAGGTGTGTGTGTGTGTGAGTGATGTTTGTGAATGTATGAGTGGGTGAATGAGTGTGTACGACTGAGGTGGGTGTGTGGCTGGCTGTAAATGTGAGTGTGTGGTGTGTGTGTGGCTGGATCCTTGCGTACGAACGTAGGAGTGAGTGTAGATGAGGGTGTGCGAGGGTGAAGTGTGTGACTGGATATGTGGGTATTGAATGTGTGTGGGTCAGTGTGCGTGTAGTGTGTGTGTGAGAGACTGTGTGCGTGCATGTGAGTGAGTGTGTCTGAGTGAAGGGTGTGAGGGTGTGACTGCATAATGTGTGTATGTGAATGTGTCTGAGTGAAGGTATGTGTGATGTGTGTGTGAGACTGCGTGTGTGTGCACACATGTGAGTGTGTCTGAGTGAGGGTGTGACTGCATATGTGTGTATGTGACTGAGTGAGTGTGTGTGTGTGTGAAATTGCGTGTGTGCATGGGAGTGTGTGAGAGGTGTGAGGGTGTGACTGCATCTGTGTCTGAATGAATGTGCGTGTGATGTGTGTGGAGACTGTGTGTGTGTGCATGTGAGTGTCTGAGGGTGTGACTGCATATGTGTGTATGTGACTGTGAGTGAGTGTATGTGTGTGTGTGTGAAATTGCGTGTGTGTGCATGGGAGTGTGTGAGAGGTGTGAGGGTGTGACTGCATCTGTGTCTGAATGAATGTGCGTGTGATGTGTGTGTGAGACTGTGTGTGTGTGCATGTGAGTGTCTGAGGGTGTGACTGCATATGTATGTATGTGACTGTGTGTGAGTGTGTGAAATTGCGTGTGTGTGCATGGGAGTGTGTGAGAGGCGTGAGGGTGTGACTGCATATGTGTGTATGTGACTGAGTGAGTGTATGTGTGTGTGTGTGAAATTGCGTGTGTGCATGGGAGTGTGTGAGAGGTGTGAGGGTGTGACTGCATCTGTGTCTGAATGAATGTGCGTGTGATGTGTGTGGAGACTGTGTGTGTGTGCATGTGAGTGTCTGAGGGTGTGACTGCATATGTGTGTATGTGACTGTGAGTGAGTGTATGTGTGTGTGTGTGAAATTGCGTGTGTGTGCATGGGAGTGTGTGAGAGGTGTGAGGGTGTGACTGCATCTGTGTCTGAATGAATGTGCGTGTGATGTGTGTGTGAGACTGTGTGTGTGTGCATGTGAGTGTCTGAGGGTGTGACTGCATATGTGTGTATGTGACTGTGTGTGAGTGTGTGAAATTGCATGTGTGTGCATGGGAGTGTGTGAGAGGCGTGAGGGTGTGACTGCATATGTGTGTATGTGAATGTGACTGTGTGATGTGTGAGTGTATGAGACTGCATGTGTGTGCATGTGAGTGTGTGAGTGAGAGGCCTGAGGGTGTGACTGCATTTGTGTGTCTGAAAGTATGTGAGTGAATGTCTGTGTGATGTGTGTGTGTGTGAGTGAGGGGTGCAGCTTGTGACTGCATTTGTGTGTCTGAACGTGTGTTAGTGCGTGTGATGTGTGTGAGACTTCGAGTGTGTGCATGTGAGTGAGTGTGTGTCTGAGTGAATGGTGTGAGGGTGCGATGCATCTGTAGGTATGAGTGTGTGTGTGTGTGTGTGTGTGTGTGTGTGTGTGTGTGTGAGCAGAGGGGTGTGGACGGCTGCAGGAGCCTGGAGCTATTCTCTGGAGACGGGGATGGAGCCCGGCCGACCCATATGCCAGGCAGACACAGTGAATCGCTCCTTCCTCCTCACACAGATGAGTCCAGTGCTCCTGCGAGCACCCCTGACCCCCGCTTGACATGCTCCTCAGATCCGGGAGCTGATTGACTCTCACATGACACCTGGGCATGGGTCAGAATATTCCTTGACGCACTTCCTGACACCCCTTGTGGGACGGGGATGGACCTGTGACGAGCGGCAAAGCTACCCTGGCATGGAAATGGGTCTGCCTGTCCTCCCGCGGTTCATCGATCTGCTCGAGCGGGCACCAGGCACGTCTCCACAGTGAGACTCGCTGTAACTGTGTTTGGCGTCTCGAAGACGCCACGGGGAGCTTGCCAGGCTCTGCCAACTTGCGGGCGGGATCCTCTCGGGACCTTGCCGAGAGGCTCTCCGAGAGGGGTGGAGGAATCGAACCCGGGTTGGCCGCTGAGCTGGAAGTCTCAGCCGGGAACGGGTACCCGGGGCATTTTTGTGTCCCCGGCCCCAGGGACTTGGGCAGCGCCAGGCCTCCGCTTCCGAAGCCCCCATGGACGCTGGCGTCGGCAACCCAAGCTGGGCTCGAAGGTGACGCTGAGTGGGACACAGAGCAAGTGCGTTGGGGCAGCCACGTGGCGTGGGTGCGTGGAAGGAGGCAACCACAACTGCCGTGCTGGACACAGTGTCCTCAGGGTGAACACTTGACCGCCCTCCATCCTGCCCCATGCAGTGACAGCCGCCTGCAGTGGGCCCTGTGGTCCTCGTGGCCTCTCTCTCTCTGTGGACTCTCCAGTGCAGTGTCCACCCCGCCCCATGCCACCTGGCCGGCGCAATTGCGTTGGGGGCAGCCACGTGGCGTGGGTGTGTGGAAGGGGGCAACCGCAGCTGCCGTGCTGGACACAGTGTCCTCGGGGTGGACACTTGGCCACCCTCCATCCTGCCCCATGCAGTGACAGCCGCCTGCAGTGGGCCTCGTGGCCTCTCTCTCTGTGGATTCTCCAGTGCCGCGTCCACCCCACCCCACGCCACCCGGCCGGCGCGTCCTTCCTGACCACCCCGTGTGTCTCCCCGTTTCTGCGCCCCACAG